ATTGAGAAAGCTAGACATGAGGTGTCCTGATGTTTCAGAGTGTCTTATCTCACCATGACCCAGGAATTCAGTCTCTGTTTCTCCAAACAAAGCCGGTCCACGGAACAAAACCATAAGTACCGCCCCAGTGACACAGATCAGTGTACCTCCTACCTTTGCTTGACCTTCTAATCTGAATAAATTCAGTCTCTCTGTTCTGCAGCAACACACAAAGAATGAAAGAGAAGGCATTGATTCTCTAATGTTTCAAGAGTCCTCGGAGAAGGAGAGAGAGAGACCGATCAATCGAATCTTTACCCCATAATGAGAGCCAGGATGAAAGTGAAGACCGGAATCGAGGGCTGAATGGCTGCAGCATAAGTGGGATTGGTGTAATTGAGACCAATGAGGAACAAAAGCTGATTGCCAAATATCCTAATCACACACCAAAAAACAACATAGATAGGTTTTGATGATCTGCAACCATGGAAATAGAAGAAAGGAGAAGAAATCTTACTTACCCAGTTAAGCCGAGGAAGAAGAAAGCCAAAAGAAAGCCTCGATTCAAAGGCGGTCTCGTCCTTTTGTCACGATGATAAGCGAGAGGAGCAAGAATGGAAAGAGCAATGAGATCACGAAAGACGCAGAAGACGAGTTGGTTTACACCGACATTGAGAGCCACTTTGGTAATGACGTGATATCCTCCGTTGAACAATTGCACACAGACCATCGCCACGTGCGCCTTCCACGCCTCTCTCTCCACGGCGTTCTCCATCGGCCGGTTTCTTTTTTTCCGACGATTCCTGTTCCCGGAGAGAGATATGAAAGCCAGGGTTGAGTGGGGTAAAGACAAGTTTTGAAAATATTAAAATCTTGAAATTGGTTGCTTGATTGTTACTTGCAGTCTGTTCTGTCAAAATGTGTTTTTTGAGATTGAACCAGACAGGGGAACAAGAAATGATGACATCATGCTTCGGACACAAGCATGCATAGTGATTGATCCTATTTACCCGCCATTACAGGATCACTAGACTTACCTTAATTTTTCTAAATTATCATTAATTTTTATATACTGTATTAGAGATTAATACAGACGTAAAACCTAAAATTTATTATAGCATGGAAAAAATCCTACAAATCTAAACATAACTTTGAGGAAAAAATATGTAAATCTCC